AAACAAAGCCAAACCATATTTATTTACTTGACAAATTTTTGAATCTATAGAAGGAAGGGGATCTTTCGTTGTTTGACACTTGAAAGAATTCTCTCTACACATTTTACACTTTTTATTTCTTATAGTTTTGACAAATTGATAAAAGGCTCATTTTTCCTCTGTTTAGTTGTGATCAATGAAAGAGAACTAATTTTCGCATTCTTTTGGCATTAGTTGATTATTTTGACTTTGAGCTGCAATAGATGAATGTGAAAACGGCTTTCCTAAATGGAAAACTAAATGAAGAGGTGTATATGAAACATCTAGAAGTTTTCCTCTCCAGTAATGGTGAGCATTTAGTATGCAAACTCAAGTAATCCATAAATGGACTAAAAGAAGCCTCTTGCCAATGGTATTTAAAATTTCATATTGTTATCTCTTCATTTGGTTTCGTAGAAAACATTATGGATCACTGTATATAACAAAAGTTCAATGAGAGTAAAATTTGTCTTCTTATACTATATGTGGATGATATTTTACTTGCAACCAATGATAAGTGTTTGCTACACGAGGTAAAGCAATTTCTCTCTAAAAATTTTAACATGAAGGACATGGTGATGCATCTTATATCATTGGCATAAAGATCTATAGAGACAAATATAAGGGTATTTTGGGTCTGTCACATGAAACCTATATCAATAAGGTTTTAAAGGGATTTAGGATGAAAGATAAGATTGTACACCTAGTATAGCTCCCATAGTAAAGGGTGATAAGTTTCATTTGAATCAATGCCCAAAGAATGACTTTGAAAGGGAACAAATGAGAAATATCCCATATGCTTCAGTTATTGGAATACTAATGTATGCTTAGCTCTGCGCAAGGCCTGACATTGCATTTGCTACTGGAATGTTGGGAAGGAATCAAAGTAATCTAGGTACGAACCACTGGAGAGCTGTAAAGAAAATTTTAAGGTGCCTTCAAGGGATGAAGGATTACATGTTTATGTATAAACGAATTGATAATTTGGAGGTAATTGGCTACTCTAATTTAGACTTTGCTGGCTATGTTGATTCAAGAAAATATAGAATGTTGATCAATTATTGAAATACTAGAATGATAAAAATTGTATATTTCAAGATTATAAATTACATATCAGTAGCAATGTTAAATTTGGTTCATCCATTTCCCGACCAAAAAAATCAGCGCACGAATGAGTCCCAAACAATTAAGATTGTAAGTACACACCTAAAGCTAAGCAACAAAACCGTCAAACCACAAAATCAAACTGAAGTCGCTCTTTTCGAAATTTTTGGTTATCCACATGGATCCATCAACGTTTTGATTTCGAATCGAATCAAACCACTTTGAAGTGATTCGGTTTAGGTTTCAATCTTTGCAAATCATTTCAAATCGTCAAACCATTTACAAAGTAAAAATATCCAACCCAATTTAAACTAAAGATATCTCAATTAAAAAGATATATTCATATTAGACATAACCCAATTAAACCCAATACCTAAATGCTAATTATACATCCCAATTAATTAATCGAATGTGTTACATGTATATAAAGATTTACATAATAATTTACATACACATGATGTGATACAATGTGATTGTTCAGAATTTCTTCAAACAAATTTAACAAGAAAAAAAAAAAGCACTCCCTTTTTTACATCTCATTTCAATGTAAATTATTATGTAACACTATGTACAAATAGCATTATTTTTAATTAATTAAATCTTACGCAAACACCCATCATTCATCACAACTTGAATGCAAAATCCTCAAATTGAGTGAAATATAGAATAATCGCTGATAAATTATATTCATCAATCATCCATTACAATTAAGTAGACAATTAAATTTAGATTTTAATTCAAATTTCACACGTTGATTTTCCTTTTACTAATAGCTAAATTATCCTGTCAGATTATCCAAATTTGCATTTTTTTGGAAATTATTTTAGTTTCTAGATTTTACTGTTAATTGCTAGAATGATTTAGTGGATTACTGAAATGATCGTTTTGAAGATTTGATCAATAAGTCTTTCAGTATATTACTTTGGTGAAAATTCAATGCAAATAAAAATAAGATTATCCTCCCAAATTACTAAAGATATGTTAGCTATTCAAATATCTACAATTATTTTCGCATCTGCATTTCCTATTAGTGGTCAAATTCTTAATTCTTTTAAGTGTTCATTGAGTACAAATATTGTTGAGACTTGAGATGGCAATTTGTCCTAAAAATTTGATACATAGTAACAAGAAATATGTAGTGATTCGTCAATATTTGGATAAGTGTAAGTATTGAATGATTCACAAAAAGTTATAAAAGGTATAATCGTATTTGATCATCTATTCATTTTATAATTTTATTAAATTGTTATATATCATTTAACTATAATTAATGAATTCATGTATAATATTCTAATCATTATGGGGGAAGTGAATCATGGTTACAACTTACAATTGCAGATGTTGCGCAAATCAATATCGATTAAGAGGTTAAAATATTTATATCATGTTAGTGCATTATAGATAAGAATTATAGAACTTTAGTTTATAATATTTTTAATGATACTATTTGTATGTTTTAACATGAAATTTTAAACTAGTATTTATAATTTAACTTCTTTATTATTATTTTTTCTTTGTAATTATTTGTGGTTTTTAAACAGCATTGAACCGAACCGAAAAATGTGGTTTGGATTTTTTTGGTTTAAAATTTGAGGTGGTTTGATTTGATTTGAAAAATTCCAAACATTTTTAAGTGATTTGATTTAAAAATTTGTCACAAATTGCCCAAGTCGAATCATGCTCACAAACCAACAAATTAAAAATATACTATAACCTCTATAAATTAATACATTGGGATCATATAAATTTCATTAATTAAAAGAGATATTAATTAATCAATAACTTATTAATTTATTAAGTACAAATTACATTTCAACGAACATGCATTCAATCAAGTAAATATTCATTATATTTTACGTATCCAATCAATTGGATATGAATTAATTCAATAAATCCTCATTAAGTTACCCAAAAAATAAATTCATTGTAGTACTTGTATACTTAGTTTATAAATCCTTTTTATACAAACAGCACCAATTTAGTTTGGAAATAATTTTCACACAAATAAACACAAATTCTTCTCAAAACTCATTGTTACAATAATTTTGGAGTTGTTACGCGCAAGAAAGCAATCAAAACATCAACAACACTTCATAATTTTTATTACAATTCGAGAATTTTACAGACCACAACTTCTATGCAATAAGAAAAACTAAAGATAAGATCCAACTAGATTTAAATTTAAAGAAAAATAACAATAGAATCATATTTTAATAAAATATCCCAGTCATCATATATATAATTTAGCTGATTATTAATTTATGGTACTAATGGGATAATAGAGCTTCGGACGGATTTTCAGAAAAGTATTATCTTATTAATTCACATAAATGACTAATTTAATCTATTAGTTTAAGTTGGAGATGTAAAATATTATTATATAATATAGACTATTAATTTATCAAATTTTATTTATAGAGATGATACCATAGTGCACAAAATCTAGGTGACTATGATAAAAGAGAAAATATTATATGGGTTTTCCCTTTGGCCCCCATTTTTTGGAAATGAAAATGAAAATGAGTGGAATAGTATTTTTTTTTTTTTTTGAAAAATAAGTGGTTGAAAAAGAAGGAAAAATTTTCGATTTACATGTAAGATTGTTTAGTTAAAAAAGAAAAGAGAAGAATGAAATGTAATTTAATGAGTACCAAATGGGGCAAAATCTTTAATGAAAGTTTAACACACTAAAAGTCTGCAACCTTTTTCTTGGCTTACCACTTTAACTCGAATGAGAACCCTCCTACAGTGTTTTGATTCTTTTCATCCTTGGTTAAGTATTGAAGGAGTGAGATTTCTTGTACACTTTGATCTTCATTGGATTCACTTTTTCCTTTATTCCTTTTTTAATTGCCAAATTTCATAACCCCAGGTGGCCTCTAATTGTAGATAGTTGTTTGGCCAATAACAAAATTATAAGCCGGAGAATGTTGGATAAACAAGTAAATTGCATTGGAAAAGATTTATTCCTTCAAGAATTCAATGTGGATTTTTCATATTTCCCTTTTCCAGTGTAAGATCTACAAGGCGCATTTGATACACTACACGGGATGGGATTAAATAAGATAACTAACCAACGTATCAAATATCTCTCTCATTTAACCACACACAATCCTATTTAATATGCATCTCGAAAGGATATATATTATGTTTCTGTAATTTACGAATAGAGGCACGTCAAAAAACAACAAAGTGTGTCAATAATATTAACTATTTTAGTATAATTTAGTGTATATTGTTAGAATATTGTTCAAATTATAGTGAGGTGGGATTTGGAAGTGAACAATTATGTGATAAACAAAACAAAGAAACAAAACAAAGATAAAATAAAAATAAAAATATATTGCCGGGCCTGGGACCTTCAAACCCGAGTCATTTCGGGTGAGTGATTGTCCAATACAATTTTTTGTCCGTTCAAGGTTTGAATTCTGTTATCGTTTTGGTTGGCTTCACACCTTTTTGACTTATTTTTGGCACATTTTCATGCATAATGGTTGATGTACTATATATAGAAATGGTTTTCATAGTAGAAATCATATCTTAAACATCAAATCAATTCACTTGTATCCAAATCAGTGATCAAACCAAGTTTTCTCATATTGTTCTTCAAGTTCCTGTTCCAAGTTTTTTTTGCTTGATTCAAACTTGAATTAAGGTTTGTTTATTCCTGTAAACCATTTGCCTTTTAAAGCCTTCAAACACTTATCTCAATAGCAACAAATATCGTTTGAGGACATCGATTCATAATTGTGTTTAAACTTTCCACTTCGTTGGATTCTTGTTGCTGCCTTTTTGTTTTCACCAACTTGGTATAACATATATAACATGTCAAAATGGTTTAACTAAAATAACTCATGAATTTAAAGTATATCAAATTCCAGAAAGCTTGATTTAACATTCAAGAATCTCGACTTTTGAAATCTTTTCCACTCTCTCCTGTACGAAATTGATCACTTTTAGCCAGCATAAATAATATTCCCTGGTTGCCAAATTACACCATTGTTTGAAACACCTATGCATCCCCTGCTTAAATCCTCTGCCTCAATGGGCAATAACAAGAATTCCATTATCGAATCTGACTTTCCCACCTCACCCCAGCCTGTAATTGTAGAAGAAATAACTCATTACACTCACCCAAAACACCCCTTGACAAAAGTTAATCTGCCTGAACTATTTACGTGCACTGGCTGCAAGGACGATGGATCTGGGAAGAGATTTGCATGCCAGCAATGTGATTTTCAGCTCCACGAGTTTTGTGCTTTGTCGCCTCCAATATTACAGAACCATCCCCTCCACGGCCAACACCAACTCGTGTTCCACGCTAAACCAAAACAAGGTACGACTCGCAGTACGAAAGCTATTGGTTCTTCTTTTCTTTGCAAGTACTATGATCATCTTGACAATAACATGGAGTTTTAACTGTTTGTAAAAGGTGGAATTTTGTGGCCAAAGTGCGATGTTTGTAACAAAACAACCAAAGGTTTTACTTTCAGTTGTACGGCTTGCAGTTTCCAGATACACCCTTGCTGCGCAATGCTTTCAACTGAAAGGAACTTTTCAGTGCATCCACACACATTGAAACTGTTACCACCATTGAATACATCCTCATCGAGTACGGATAACAGGATTCTATGCGGTGAGTGCAAGAAGACGAGGTCGGGTCGAGTTTACCGTTGCACCGTTTGTGATTATCATCTCCATGCAGTTTGTGCTAAGAATTTGATAAACGGGCTAGCTCTAGAGTATCCCTTCCCTGGAAAAGCCGAGCACGATTGGAAAAAGGGGCTTGCTACTCAGGTGGTTTTTGAATTCGTAGGAGGGCTTTTTGAGGGGTTTGGGCAAACTACAGCAGAATACTTTTTACAGAATATTGCAAGAGGGAGGCGCAGCAGAAGATCAGGTGAGGGTTAATAAGTGATTGAAGCTGCACAGGGCTAATACTACATACTAAGAATATGTAGAATACAGTTTGATTTGCAGTAGTAAACAATAAATTTTAGCTTTTTTCCTTAATCAGGTCCTGTCCAACGTATCAAATATGCAAGTGTGTAACTTCATAATGGAAGTACTATGATCAATGTGTTCCTGACCTGCTGTCTTTAAGACTTTAAACCGGATAAAATGTTACAGATCCAATTCTCACGAAAACATTGATTAAAATCATACAAGGCATAACAGTATATCTTTTATCTCTATAGAATTCCCCGATAATTGTTATAATGTAATATATTTTTTATTATTTTTCTCGAATACAAAAAAGATCATATAAAAATTTAATTAGTAACTAATTATTAGAAAAGCATTAAATTCTACAACAATCGTCTAAGATAATCAAATATATAACGCCAAAGACTTGAAAATATTATTATAATATCCTACAAAGGGTTTGTCCATGTCTTAGCGACTAAAAGTTAAGCCTAACATCACAAATTTACAAGAAATCATGTCGAAATAATAAGACATCACACTGATTGGAATACATGAAGAAAAAGAAGAAAAGTCATGAATTCTTGAATCTCTTTAAGCCTTCTCGATCAATGTCAAATTGTACATTTTTCTTCTTTACCGAAAAATTTAGAAAATATCTTCAAAATTTGGATTCTTTGTATCTTGCCTCTTGGTTCCTCTCTATAGAACAATATTTGGCTCTCTACTTTTAAAATAATTGTTTATTGTATGCTAGCTCCCTTTTAATTGTTGAATGGATGTTGGTATTTATAGAACAAGATTTAAGTCAAAATACATGTTCCAATTAACTTTCAAAAAGAGTTTGAGGATTAAGAGAAAACAATTCCCTTTTCACCATTTTTTTTGGCCTGTATTCACTTCTTTTCATCAAAATCTATCCCAACTCGAATTAAGCTTACAAAAATCGATATGTAACCAAATTAAATAGTAATTTCATCAAATTGACTCCAAAATATCCCTCTTTTGATGATAAGGTGTAAAAATTACACCTATCACGACAGTTTGGTATGACTTCTTCTATTGCTTCCATTTTTTGTAGAAGAGTTTAATGAAAAATCCACACTAATTATGTTTAAAAACTAATTCTAAAAGAGTTTCAAATAGAAGAGATTTTAAAGGAAGTCATGTCAAATCAACTTTCTCTAAAATCTCTTTTAATTCGAAGAAGCACTTTTATAAACAATGAATTCAAAAGTGACTTCTGGATCTCAAAAGTTGGATCCTTAAATGTGTGATTGTCTAGCATTGTACTGTAAAATCTGTAGTCGATAAACATTCAAAATATTCTAATATCACGTGTCTTAAATAGAAACACCGCATTAGACATATAAACCTTCTTGCCTCTTATCCAAACAAAAACTGTTTGTTAACATCATTAAATTTTCTAGTCTGATTTGGGAAACATTTTTAGTAAATTATAAATTAATTTATTGTGCAAATAAATTTTAACTTCAATCACAAATTACAAACTATTATTCATTAGTATCTACACATTTCATGATCCAATCGCTATTCCTCCAAAACAATATTTTTCGAACAGAGGACTTCACGCCCAGCACTGTTTAGCAGTTCGATCTAATTGGTAGCTTACAAACTTGTAAGAAACCCTAAATTTTGTCATCTGTTTTTTGTACAAAATATTATGTATTTGTTGTAAATAATATGTTTATTAGTAAATGACAATTATACCAATGTAGCCCTAGTTATTATTACCATTGTATCCTGTACTCCAATGTGGGTTTTTGGTTCTCAATGAAATAAATACAAGCCTATTGATTTCTCTACTTCTTTTTTTTTTTCCGTATTTCATAACACGTTATCAATACGATTCTTTCAAAATCAAAGTGTATTAATTAGAAGGTAATAATTTTTATAAGCATCATCATATGTTGCGTGTATCAAAATTAATTTGATGGCATGTGAATTTTTCTATATACATATATATCATAATGAGGTTGTTTCTTCTTCTTATCTGCTTTTTTGCTTGTATGCAAATCTATAATAATTATTTTTATTGTATGTATAATGATTACCTCTTTATTTACTAATGCATGTGTACATACATATGCAATCGCATTTACATGTGTCTATGTGAAGGAATTAACATCTTTCATGGTGTACTAAATAGTGGTGTGCATCCATGAATGTAAATAATGGTGTGCCGTGTGCATCTGCACATTTATTATGACCATGCTTTAAGTGTCCATTAAATAGATTCATTAGTCAACTTAATTGTAAATATGTTATAGTTCGAATTGTAAATCTATTATCTTTTATACATCACTTATCATAAATCTATACAAATTTATTCATCAACGTCATATTTTTTTTTTACTTTTTGTTCATCGTTCAATTAATTATCACATTCTTATTCTTTTTTAATACGTAGTATAATTTTATGATTTAGTACTCTTATGTCCGTATATTACAAAATTTTATTGCTCTTGAAGTACCACACTATTATTTACATATGTTCTAGTTTGATTTTACTTGCTCCTGAAGAGCTTAATTAAATACAATCTAATATGAATTATCTTTTTACCATTGAAAAGTAAATCCTTGTATAATTTCTTATAAATATATATGATTGCTCCTAAAGAGTATGAATTATAGTTTTCAATATCTCAAAAAAATATTGACATATTTTTATCGAAGAATCAATAGTAAAATAAAATGTGATCTTGAATTATCACATGTTTCTAATAATACATGATTTTGAATTAGTGCTTACTCTTGAAGGAAAACATATATCTAATGTCATGTTAACATTGATTAGTTCAACTACTTGATCGATTATTAAATGATTCTATTACATTTAACCATATTTTTCGAAAATTAATTGCTTTTTTATTTTATTTTATTGTGTAGTTACTCAAATGGCAAAAATCGGAAAACTCGATATGAATTGTCAAGATGCCTGTTTAGATGATAGTGTAACTATGCATGCCATTTTTCAAGATAAAAGTGTTTTTTGAACTTAATATTAGCAAAAAATAATGTTAATATGAATTGACGGGATCCAAGGAAGGCAACCCACTATCAAGAGGTTGACATTAACAAGCCAAAGACCAAGTTTCATGATGAACACGAGAGCCAAAACAAGTTGAAATGCATATGAATCAAGAACTTGAACTTGGAGACCAGACGAAAACTTGTGCGACCGCATAGTACAAATTGGATATGCGAATTTTAAAATTCACGAAATTTCCTAATTTTGTTAAAACTTTGAATTTTTTTGTATCTTTTATAATCTTTAAAACTTGATTTCATTTTAACTAGGTTTATGAAATATCATATTTTAGTTAAAACTTTATTTTATGGTATCTTTTAGTATTTTAGACTTATCTTTCGTTTTTAACTAAGGTTTACTGAGTTCCCTATAAATAGAACTTATTCTTTTCATTGTAAATAATTAAGTTTTGAGAGATATTATTGAGAGGAATAATTGCTTTCTATCTTTTTCTTCATTGAATTAATTTCCAAACTTATCAAATTTATTTCTTGTGGCATTCAAATAATTCAGGTGAGATACATATTGTCAACGATTTTGTTGATTCTTTGGTTCAATATTTTTGGATCAAACTTTAAACATTGATTCTTAGTTTTCTTGGGGTTGAATCGATCTTGTGGGTTTCATAGCTACTATTGCTACGTGGGTTCGCATCAACTAGTATCAGAACTTAAGCTCTAAAAATCAAGGTTATTTTTTTTGTCTTTTTTGTTTGAGTCTCTAATCCATAAAAATATCAAAAAACATTTCAAAAGTTGTTTGTGTGCTAATTTAGCACCCCAAATCAGTTTCTATTTCTTTGCTGGTGTCGTTGAATTTTCGAGCAGAAAAATTCAAAGATTGCCAACAATATTCAATTTTAATTTTTTTTCTTCCTTAAGTCAAAAATAAAAAATAAAAAACAAAACAAAAAGGAAGGGGGTTTCCAATCAAAATTCAAGAACCACTTTCTTGGGTCAATATTAGTTCCCATCTAAAGTGTCAAATTTCTTTGCTTTTTTTTTTTTCCTTCCTTCCTGGAGTCTTCTAAATTACAATATTTCACTCACACCCTAATTTGAATTCTTCGAGAATAAAACTTGGCCGAGATGAAATTAGTTCTTGAGCGAAATCATTGAGTAGAAAAAGGCAAGAGTAGTGAGACTAATAGCAAGAAAAGTCAAATTTGAGTGATACACAAAATTATACACATGAGACAAATATTACTTTGGATTTAGGATGTTAGACAAAGGGGAATCTACTTCAATCGAAATAATAATCTAGTCAACATGTTAGATTAGGTTATACGATATTTCAAGAAGTTGTTTGAAGATGTGATAGACAGGTTGGATAGAAAAAAGGCGTGAATGGAGAGACAAGACCCAGTGTTTGCTAATGTATGGGAGGAACAACTTAGAGGAGTTTCCAATACAAGAAGGCAAAGTAGGCGGGAGCCTAGGATGGATACTCGTGGTGAATATAAGGCAGGTAGCTATTGACATTGATGAGAATGCATTAATGGAAGCCGAGATAGAAAGAATGAAGGATAGAGGAGTTAGGCATGAGAGAAGGGGCAGAAATCCTGTTGAATATGGAGTTGATAGAAGTATGAGCAATATCAAAATGATAATACATTCGTTCAAATGAAGAAGTGATCCGGAGGTATACTTGGAGCGAAAGAAGAAGATAGAGTTGATATTTGACTATCACAACTACTTGAAGGATAAGAAGGAAAAGATTGCAATACTTAAGTTTACCAATTATGCTATTACTTGGTAGGATCAAGTAATAACATCTAGGAGGAGGAATCGTGAGATGCCTATTAATACATTGAAAAAATTGAAGGCTATTATGAGGAAGATGTTCTTGCCTAATCATTACTATAGAGAACTTCATCAAAAATTGCAAAACCTCTATCAAGGTTTCTACAAGTGTAGAGGATTATCATAAGGAGATGGAGATTGCTATGATTAAAGTGAATGTTTAGGAAAATAGGGAGGCCACCATGGCCCCATTTTTGAAAGAAATCGAGAGATAGCTAATGTGGTAGAACTATAATATTACATGGAATTGAAGGATAGGTTACATGTAGCTATGAAGGTGGAGCAGCAGTTGAAGAGGAAATGAGCAGT